GCCACAGAGCAGGGGCCAGCCACTGCCCCTGCCTTTTGCCTCCCCTGCCAGTCTGACCACCTTGGCACGGCTGCTCGGAGAGAGGGCTTTGGTCTTCTAGTCTTCCCAGCCCTCCCAAGCCATTCCAGGGTGCTGCATGGCCAGAGACACAAGGGGCTGCGGGGAATTTGTACAGCTGGCAGCGGTACTCTGAGAACATCTCCTGCCCGGCTGCAGAACAGGAGGGGTTTACTTCTGCTTTAGACAGGAGGGGGGGTTTCAGAACGTCACTCCCAGAGCAAAAGCGAAGCTACAGGCCCCACCCCGACCCCTAGAATCAGGGCGTTGGCTCAAGGACCTCCCGCACCACCAGCCCTTTGGGGCTTTTCATATTAAAACAAGCGCCTTGTAGGGTAGCAAAGGAAACATCGGGAGGGTTAAAAAAAGATGCACAAGCAGCCTCAGAAGGCAGAGAGCCGGAATGGTACAAATCGAACACAATCTGGTTTTACAGTTCAGCCCTAAGCCTTAGAACATGTGAACCCAGCTCCCGCAAGAACCAGCCCACAGCTCAAGCATTCCCTCCCCCGCCGGTCACGAATCATTCAAATGTACATTATAAAATAACTATTGCATGGGACATTTTATGAACCAAGAGAGCAAAATTCCTTGGGGGAGGGTCTACTCTCTCCAGACCAACTTGTGGATTTAACCCCTATCTCTAAGGGGTAGGACACAGGGAAATCTTTTTTCTATCTTTGGCCAAAACAGGGACAAGCAAAAATCAAGGCAGGCTCATCCCTGAGGTTGGGAAGGAACCCAGGATACACCCACCAGCTCCCAGCCATCTCTGGTTACAGAAACGCTACCCGAAATCTCTCCCAGGGAGCTCAGGGGAGGGGAGTTGCTCCATTTGGAGAGTGCCAGTCAGACTTATAGAGATTTTCATTAATAAATAAGTTGTGCTAAAGAGAAAACAACCCAGAAACTGCCCAGCAAGCCAAACACGTTGCAATGCACACAGGCTAGTGAATTGCCTTCAGTCCAGTGGCCCATCAGACCCCTATCCCCACTATCAGCCCTTACACTCTCCAGCTGCCCCTCCAACTAAGGATCGACCCCCGGACACGGCTCCAGACTTACATGTCCTGCCAAGGCCTCTTCCCCAAGAGCAGCCCTTCTCAGCCGGCAGTGCAACAGCCCGGTGTTGTGCAGAGCAGCGCTCGGTATGGCACTGAGCAGCCTGTTCTAGTTGCAATGCAGCTGTTTCCTCCGGCAACGTCACATGCTCCAGAGCCTTCCAATCCAGCAAGCCCCTAGCCTCCCAGGCAGGGGTAGAGGCCACCGGGAGAACCACTGGTGGGACTCAGCTGCCCACCTCACCTGTAGCCTTACAGAACATGCACCAACAAGCTGACACATGAGAAAAGACAACGGGGCAGAGAAAATCCAGCTCCTGCCCCAAGCTGATTTAATGTCTCGCCGCACCAGTAGGAGCGGAGCTTGGCAACGCAGCTCCCCGGTGACCTCTGGAACAAGAGGGATACTCCGGTGCCTCTCCATGCTGCAGAGATGGGACACCAGTCCCCATATGGGGACACGGCGTGGTGGGCAGGCCCTCTGAGGTCCAGAGAGACCCGGGCCACTTTCAGGTTTTGAGGCTCCTAGCTATAATAAAAATAAAAGGTGACCCATGGACAAAACAAAGCATCAAAAAAGAGCAAGACATAATATTTTGTATGTAAATGCTTTCTTATCCTGAAAGAGCCCGTCACGTTTTGCTCTGATAGGGATACGCATAAGAACAAGTTGGGAAACTTAGCAAATGCCAAAAAAAAAAATTAACCAGTGTCTAGATTGCAGGCCCCCCCCCCCCCCTCTCCAATTGGTCCCGGGGGGAAAACGCTGGGTGGAAAACCTGTTGTGGTTTTTCCAGTGGCCATATGCCACCGCCATCAGCCTTGTGATGTGCATTATGGGGCACACACTGGTGATAACACTTACGTGCATTGGATAGCATGAATCCTGTGCCCTCAGCAGCGCTGTACGCCGACTAACACAAGAGCATTGGGCACAGTTAAGCTCTTAATATATAGTTCAAATTGCTGGGTGGAAAACCTGTTGTGGTTTTTCCAGTGGCCATATGCCACCGCCATCAGCCTTGTGATGTGCATTATGGGGCACACACTGGTGATAACACTTACGTGCATTGGATAGCATGAATCCTGTGCCCTCAGCAGCGCTGTACGCCGACTAACACAAGAGCATTGGGCACAGTTAAGCTCTTAATATATAGTTCAAATTGCCACTAAATTACAACCACTAATGACTAATACAATGATCCACTCTGCCCATTAGCTCATCCCTGGCCCTGACTCAGGAAATCGCTGGCCGCAGGAAAATTAACTAAGGAAGCTGCGCTCTGACCCACCACAGAAGGAAGAAAGTTTCAGTTTCTTCTCTATTGCTTGAGAAGCAGTCTCAGGTCCGATATCACCCAGGAGGGCTGCCAGCCCTTTGCAAGCACCAGATCATTGGGTAGGAGAACAGAAATACTGTTAGCGTGGGCCTAGCTGTGGGGGTGCACCTGGGGCCTCTCGTTGTCAGCACTTCGCCTCTTGACATGTCTAAGCCCTCCGCCCAGGTGCTGGTTTCAGCTGCCGTGTCCATCTCAGCGGCTGCAGAAGGAGGAGATGTGCACACTGCGCTCTCTCTCAGTGGCCTGCCCAGCTAAGGTAAAGGTTACTGCAGATTCAAAGTGCAGGCCTTGCTCTTTGTAGCAGGAAAGATCAGCGACAGCCCACTATTCAGGAAATGATCATACATCCCATAGCTGGGACTCAAACCAGCCCCACGGGGACATTTCAGGGAGCAGGTGAGTGCAACTGATAAATGGATCTTCCTGTAGCTCCGTGGTCACCAACCAGTAGGTCAGGATCTACTGATAGATCCTGGAGCCTCTAAGAGCTGAGCATGACCGATTTGGCTGGGAAGCTCTCAAGTGCAAGCACATCAGCTGCCCTCTCCATTCCCCCCCACCCCTCGCATGCTTCTCCTGGCCTCTGCCTTGGAGCTTTCTTCTGGGAGACTTCTGTTTTGCTGTGCAAGGTAGGGGAGGCTGATGTCAGGGTGGCTCTCAGGCCTCTCCATTGCCGTAGGGGCAATGAGAATCAGGACCTATATTTCTTTCAAAAACCAGTGTTCTGGGCCTGCTGCCCTTTACTGTACCAAGAGCCCCTGCAGCGGCATATGCACACATCCTGGGGGGGGGAGGGAGAATCCAGAGGGGTGTGGACACCACTACCTGACTGTCAGAGGCCTAAGCCAGACCAGCACCACAGGGTAGCACAGTCCAATGGCTAGAGTCTATGGTGCAGCCCTTGCTTGCCAGGCAGCATGGCCTAATAGGCAGAGTCTATAGAGCAGCCCCTTGGTTGCAGGGCAGCACACTCTAATGGCCAAAGTCTAAGGAGTTGGGACAGCAGCCCCAGTAAGGGGGCCCAGGCCCACCCAACTCCATCAGGCCCAACCCAGGGCCCTGGCAGGGGTGGTGTGGCAGGGAACCCCACCAAAACACACTGAGTTCATTCAGGTGGCAGCTACCACTCCCTCCCCCTCCCCCCCTCGGCCACTTTCTATCATCCCCAGCAGTGGGGCCACCCAAGAGGCCCCAGGGCTCTCTGGCTCCACCGGCTTTGGGGCTCACTCTAACCTCCTGGGTCTACAGCTCCCACTGTGAGACTGTAGCCAGTCCATCTCTTGCACTTCTGCTACAATCCTTCCCCTCCTGTATCCACCCCAAACTGAGCTGAGCTGCTCCCTTTTATACTAGCTCAGAGCTTGGAGCATGCCCAGTATGGCTGTGGGGGCAGGATTTCTTCCATCCACAAGGTATTAACCCCTTCCCGTCCAGTGCAGTGTAGGCACACTCCATCACTTGCCCAGTGCACTGGTCCTGGTTCACTGTACTAGTGGATTGAGCAGTGGGCCGGGGCACAGGAGACTGTAATTCTATTTGCAGCACTGCCGCTGCATTGCTGGGTGACCGTGAGCCAGTCACGGCTGGCTCCATGCCTCAGTTTCCCCCATCTGATACCAACCTCCTCTGTAAAGCACTTGGAGAGCTGGGGATGATGACGAGGATCGTCACTGAAGGCAGAATTCACACTGACGTCAGTGAGGCCAGGGTTTTACTTTCGGTGACTAAGAGGATGTGGGCGGGTCTTGTTTGCAGGGGGAAGCACCCTGCCTGTTCTTGCCAGCCAGCCTTGCATGTGGGACGATGCTGCCAGAAGGAACACCTCCAAATCCAGATCAGCACCCCTGTTTTCAGTCTCAAAGGGGTGGCCGTGTTAGTCTCCATCTGCAAAAACAACGAGGTGTGCTGTGACGAACAGATTTATTAGGGCAGAAGCGTTGGAGGGTAAAACCCACTTCGTCAGATGGGTTGGAGTGAAGTTTACAGGGGCAGGGGTGTATAGGGCGTATATATAAGGACCACAAAAGAAAGAGGCTAATCAAGTCAGGGTGGAAGGGGTCCATTCATGGCCGTTGATGTGGAAATGTGGATATCCAGAGAAGGGAAATTGCCTTTGTAATGCGTTAGCCAGTTAAAATCCTTATTTAGTCCTAAACGGAAAGTATTGAACTTGCAAATGAACTCCAGGTCGGCTGTCTCCCTTTGTAACGGGGCTTTGACATTCTTTTGGAGAAGGAGGGTTAGGGAACCACTTTATCCTCCCTGGATATTCAGCAATGGATTTAAAAGTAGCCACAGGACTCCTCGATGTTTTTCCTGTTTTCAGTGAGAGAGCAGAGCAACGGCCATCGACGGCAGTGCCGCGCATACGGCAGCAGGGCCTTTGGCAGGGGTGAGCCCTATCTTTGTTGGCAAAATGTCTTGTGTTTTTCCACTCTACTCAGGCATGGATTTAGGGCTTAAGCCGCCCCCAGCTGGAAAGCGCAGCGGTAGGGCCTCTTGGGGAAAGATTCCTAACAGCTCCTCACGAAGAGCTCTGTTCTCCTCCCCTCCAGAAAAGGAGTCAAGAGGGAATGAACCGAACAGAGCACTTTGGAGGGATCCAAGCCCTTGTCAGTCCCAGCTTCTAGCAGTTGGAGGTCTAAGGGTGCCCAAAGTAGGGGGGCTGCATCTTGGCTAACAGACACTGAGGGACTGCTCCCCAACACAGAATACAAGTCCTTCCTGGAATTAAGAGCTTTGCTTAAAACCCATGGGATTTGTTTCAATAGTCAAGCGTGGGATCCTCTTCTTTGCCGTCTGGTGTCTGAGCTTCTTGGTTGCACCCGCTGCATGTTTTCAAGCTTTCCTCTGCAACCACAGCGGCTGGAAAGTTACTTCCCTCTTTGTTTTTTCAGAGAACAGTGGAGATTTTCCCACAATTCCCTGATTCCGCGCGGGAGGGGGGGTGTTCAGGAGAAACACCAGATATTATGAGCGAGGGGTATGCTGCCTGTTGGGGGGTAGGCTGGGAGTCATCGAGGGGCACATTTAGGAACATGCATCTACCCCACTCCATCACTCGCTCAACCCACAATGTATCACTGAGTTTTCTTTTCTGCAGCCTGTCCACAGCTTCCACATGCTGACACGTCTGATTAGGGAAATGCCCTGATGTTCAGAGCTTTGTCTTGTCTGGTTTTGAACCGGACAGTCTGGTATTTGAGCTTTCTGTCCGGGAAACAAATTGAGAAAATACAGGACATATACATGTCTGGTATTTTCTAATTAAGTAAGTTTTATTATTATCATGAGTATCAGTATGTAGTTGCGTACTGCCTGGCTGGTAGATATGCTCACACTGCGTGAGCGTGTCTACCAGCCAGGCAGTACGCAACTACACAGTAGAGAGGAGGGGGGGTGGGGCTTGGGTGGGATGGAATCCTTGGGGCCATGCAGGACGGGCAGCACCCCAGGATCTGTGTGCGCCTGGGCCAGCCCTGCTCCCCTCCTGGCTGGACCCCCCATCTCGTTCTGAGTATTTCTTGAAACCCATCTGGTAACCCTACTTATGTGCAATTAAATCATCCTGCCCCTTCCTCCCAAAACGTGTCCCGATTTTTCCCACGAGGTCTGACAGTGCCTGACACTAGCCCTGGGCGCCTTAGCTGCCCCGGCCACAGAGCGGTCTCCTAATGGGAGCTTTAGGATCAAGGTACGGAGGAGCTGCTTCTGCCGCCTGCATTCCTAGGCAGAGAACCATCTTCCCTAGCCAGCCCTGCAGCCCGGCCTCAGGCCTGTGTGTGCGGCTGCACTGCCACCTGCTGGCCCAGCCGTGCCCGGCAGCAACAGAAGGCATCAGCACCATGTTCCCCAGAGACTCTCCCACAGGGGTACCAAAGCAGTTTGGGTTGAGGGGGCAGAGGATCGTGGCAGAGGGGGAAGGCGGCAGGAGCAGAGGTGAACACTCCCCCGCCAACTTCCTGCTGTCTGCAACTAGAGTGGCATCCTGGCCATCAGTGTCCCCCGGAAGCTGAGCGCTTGGGCGGCTACCCCGGAGAGAGTCAAACGCCGCCCAGCTGATTAGCAGAGCGCTCACAGCCGGCAGCCTGTGTGTCTATGGGTGGTGCACCTCTGCATGTGCCTTGGTGCACATAACAAAATGTATTCCGCACATCAATGGAAAAAAATTAGCGGGAACATTGCTGGGCATCAGCAGAATTGTTATAATCCCCAGCCGCTTGCTGGAGCCCATTTCCCCTCTCCCATCAGGCCGTGGGGTCTGGTGAGAAAGGGGCAGAGAAGGCGGCAGGGCAGAAGCTGGCTCAGCCGAGGGCCATGTCCAGCTGCAGGGGAAAGGCAGGGCTTTCTCTGGTATTGAAAACCGAATTGAATCCCTCCACACCCCCATCCCGCACCTAGGAACTAACTAGACACACACTCGTGCTGGCAGTTTGGCAGTGCTACCTGGCGGCGGACCGGACACCTAGCTAGCATTGTCATTCATCATGTGTATGGTGGGAGCACTGGGTGGAGGAGGGAATCCGAAGGGCAAAGAAGGATTCTGTGGATGTTTATAGAGAGCACAAGTTTCCTTAAGTTTGGTTGCTGCCCACTAGTCATTCCCACAACGCCCTGGGCTGTCACCCAAACCTGGCTGTGTGGGTAACACAAATCCACGTGTTTTGTATACTCCAGTGGGCTGGGGCGACAGTCCTGCATGTTGATGCGATCAGGTGCATTAGGAGCAGCTGCTTCCCGGAGGTGGTTGCTGGAGATAACACTGTACATGCTTTGTTAACAACTGTCAGGCTGCGAGATGGAAAACAACATTTGTCTCCACTCTCTGCCCTTTTTCCAACTAGTGCGCAGCTCCAGCGCAGCTTGGACACAACAATTTCACCGGGAGCTCTCACGGCCGGCGAGCATGGTTTTTCACTACACAATCAAAGTGGCACGCTGGAAGCCACCGACTTACGGTCAACCAGCAATGCTTAAGAGATGCAACTGTGCAGCCACTGTCTGCCCAGCTCCTGTTGGCCTGGCCTGTGGTATTTCTGTACCGATTTTTCAGCATCGTTGGATTTAGGCTTGGCAGAATTCAATGTGTCTTTGTTTATAGCTTCAGAAGACAACACTGATCTTTATTTTAATGCATTTTTCTCATTTTGCAGTTTTACATTTTTACAACTGTGCCAAATTATGGGAGAGATCAACACCACACATCAAACTACGCCAAGTCAGTGTCCTCACCCCCAATTCTAATAAAAGTTCTCAAGTATTTGCCCAGTTGTACGTTTTTATTGTTACCAAGAGAATCCTTTTTCATCAGGCTGGGCTTGTTTATAGTGATATCGACCTTTACGGATTGAAAGCCCCTTCCAAGCCTGGTGTAATGCACCCACAAACATGATTGTGAATGCCAGATGGCAGCCTTGGCAGCCTCCGGACCTGCTTCTTCCTCCTCCCCAAAAGCCCTCCTGGATATGGTGGCTTCTGTGAGTAACATAATGGTTTATTACGAGGGCGTTAAAGAAATCGGATTTCCAGTTCCAAAGCTCGTGGGCGTGTGTGTGGATGCCGCATCTCGTTCATACAACACAGACCTTGGAGACCAACGGGATTTTGTTCCCTCCTCTAACCCAGACATGTCGTGACCTTGGGCAAATCATAGAAATGTTGGGCTGGAAGGGCCCTGAGTGGTCATCTCGTCCAGCCCCTCACCCCATGAGAAAGCAGGCCCAACTGCAGCTTGATTATCCCTGACAGATTCTTAGGAACAACATAAAAACCGACAAATAGTCGTGCAGCATCTTAGAGACTCACAAAGCATGGAGATGGTCTCTCAGGTGCAGCAAGACTATTGGTTGCTTTTTAAGTGTTTCCAGGTACAGACTAACCTGGCTCCCCCTCCGAGGTTTTTAGGAACACCACTGACTGGGATCTCACAACTTCCCATGCTAACCTAGTCCAATCCTTAACTACCCTGATCCTTATACAGGTTTTCCTAATATTCCCCTGACTCTCCCTTGCTGCAGATTATAAACCTATTATTTGCCCTACCCATGGTGCAAACAACCCTTTTTGGAAGAGCCCTTAACAGATTTGAAGACTATCAGGTTCCCCCCCTCAGTCTTGTGTCTCCTCCTGCCTCAGATCTCTCGCCTAGAAACCAGAGATAGAACATAAGCACAGACAGACTGGGACAGACCAATGGTCCATCTAGCCCAGTATCCTGTCTGCTAACAGTGGCCAGTACTAGATGTCCCAGAGGGAGGGAACACAACAGGTAATCCTCACATGATCCCTCTCCTGTCATCCATTTCCAGACAAACAGAGGCTAGGGACACCATTCCTACCCACCCTGGCTAATAGCCATTGATGGATCTAACCTCCATGAATCTATCTAGCTCTTTTTTGAACCTTATTAAAATTCTAGCCTTCACCACATCCTCTGGCAAGGAGTTCCACAGGTCGACTGTGTGCTGAGTGACAAAAACCTTCATACACACACAAACACATACACGCACATTATGAGGCTCCATTATTCTTGGATGCCAAACACTTGTGGAGTGCAAATCACTACATACATTCCACACACCTTTTGTCTGCAACATTGCCTGCTAAATACTTTCCTGGGTCCTTTTTCCAGCAAATTGTAGGTTCGATTAATGCACGTTAAAAAAATTAATGCGTTAATTCTGCCCTGCATTAATCACAGGCGTTAATATGCATTAATTAACAGCCCTAGTATTAAGGCAAGTTACACCAGGGACATACTCACTGAAATCCCCTCCCCCCCCAGTCCCATGTAACAGTGCCCCTGCTTTGCCCGAGGCATCTGGTCACATTTCAGACTCACCTTTCTGTTCTCCCATTTCCTAATGCATTGTCTGCTCACATTCCAAATTGGTAACCTACATTTGCCCTTTCTGCCTAAGCCTCTCGCCTTCCTTTTTAAATCCCTCCCACGGACAGTCGGGGAGAGAGGCTGAGAGCGAGAGGCGTGGAGAAGGAGAAAAGAAAGGAAAGAAATCGGAAAGCAGTTCTTTTATTCGGCCAGTGCAGGCAATTTTCAAATGGTAATTACAGTTTCTCAGTAATGCGCCCTTTTGCATAGCAGGCTGTGTGCATGATTTGGAAACAGTCATGGGAAAAATCATCCCGCACAGATTTCCCATGGCATACCCAAATGTAGAGGCTAGAGGAGGTCAAAGATAGGTGGGCAGCTGGGCAGAGGGGTGGGCATTGGTAGATTTAAATGTGGACAGGGCAAATATTCCTGATGGGGTGGGGTCTCTCTTTCTCCATCTCTCCCTCTCTCAGGTTGAAGCTGGCGGAGTGGAGAAATAAGGAACTTATTTTGTAGAGGGAAAAATCAGGCCAGAGGTTGCAATGCAAAATGTTTGGAGAGTTTTGCAAAAGAGGGACAGATGTCCCCAATCCTGGGATATAACAGCAGGCCCTGGCCAGAGGACAGGGACTGAGGGTTTGTGAATAAGGGTAGTGTTTCCACAGGACCACAAAGGCGAGAGAGAGGGACAGGAAGAAAAAGACCATCCCGAGCAAAGGGACTGATAAACGTACCTTGGAATGCGGCGATCTGGCGGTGTTGGGACTCATGTCGTGTTCTATCACATCAAAACCATTCAGAGGAAGAAACAGACAGGTGGATCGAATAGTAACTTCTGAGCTGGGCTGGGGCTTCGAACTGTGTGACCAGTGAGTGGGGAGGCGGCAGCTCTGTCCCTCTCCAACGCTGGCACGATGGGAAGAGTTGCTAGGGATGCTGGATTCCGACACGGAGCATTGAGGGGTTAGGTGTCCCTGGGTGTAGTGCTACAGTAGCAGTGCTTTGGGATCACATATGATGAACACGGCCCTGGCTGGAGAGAGGGGACTAGTGCAGCAGGACTGAATGGCTGAGGTCAGAGTGCTTGGTGACGCTACTCACTGCCTTCCTGCCCCAAGAGGCCAGGAGCATTATGGAGAAAGATGGGGGGAGATGCTGATGGGATGTGCCAGGTAAGTCAGACAGAGAACTTTCACCAGCCCCACCACGGGTAGCTTTGGCATTGGCTCTGGTGGAAGATATCTGCCTCATGTGCCCAGCTAGAGTCAGGCAGAGAGGGAGAATGCGGAATGAAGTCCCGCTGACTCCAGGCTGCATCAGGCGTGCCTACTTTGAAATGTGCATTTCAAAGCCATGGAGCCAGGGATCAGCTGTGTGGTGCTGCTCCTTTGAAACACTGAGGCTGTGTTTTAAAGGGGCAGCACTGCACTGCTGAGCCGGGGATCAGCTGTATGGCCGCTATCCCTTTGAAATGCTTCCTCGGCATTTCACAGGGGCAGTGCCATGGAGCCCTGGGTCAGCTGGGGACTCCCCAGCTGATCCCGAGCTCCGCGCATTTCAGCGGAACCCGGGATCTGCTGGGGAGTCCCCAGCTGACCCCGGGTTCTGGGGAAATGCCACTCAGGACCCGAGGTTAGCTGTGGAGTCCCCAGCTGACCCCGGGCTCCAGGGTGCTTTGGTGTTTAAAAGGAGCAGAGTCGCACAGCTGAGCCATGGATCAGCTGTGCAGTGGCTGCCCCTTTGAAACGCCACCTTGGGGTTTCAAAGCGGTAGCACCACACAGCTGATCCCCAGCTCAGCTGTGCGGCACTGCCACTTTGAAGCATTCCTTCTCCCCCTTCCTCCCCTCTTTGCTGCCTCTATCTGATAGAGGCAGCAAGCGGGTGGGGGAGAGGGATCGATTAGTCAACTAGTCGACTGACTATCCGATAAGCATTTGCTTAACATCCTTAGTGAATTCTATCGTAGTACCTCGGCTCCCCCGCTGTACAACAAGGATGGTGCTTTGAGGTCAGAGGATGAACAGTGCTGTGCAGGAGCAGGCTGCTGAGCCGGCCCGCATTGTGCTAAACTGCAAGGTTTGCCCTTCCACGCTGTGTATCACAGGTACTAGCTGGACGGGGAAGCCAGCCACAAGCTGCAAACAAGAAGCTCCCCTTCTCCTCACAGTTATCACAGTCATCATGGCAGGCTCTTGGATTTGCACCCCGTTGCCCTAGGAGTTTGCGCAAACACTGGGGTAGATCTGGCCCCTTCTCCAATGCCCGAAGTCTAACCCCCTCCCTCCTACCTACCCCATGATAACTGGACCAGGCCCAGCCTGGAAATGGAGTAAGTGGAAACTGTTTTCTTTTTCAGCCCGGAGTGTGACTGCTGGGGCCCGGCTCTGAATAGCTCCATTCACCTCCCCCGAAGGAACCTGAATGCCTTCATGGCACGCGGGGGTGAAAGGAATTTTGTTTAACGAGGCGAAGAGTCGAGCCTTTGATTTGCTTTGAAATCTCTCCCCGTCATCTCCGAGCCCCCCTGACTCTGTCCCCTCGCCCGCCCCCTCCTCCCTCTCGGAGAGAACGTGCGGGAGGAATTGTGAACCTCTCCCGCGCTCCAGCCCCAGCCGGCAGCACAGCTCCGTGCTCTGTGCCCAGCTTGCCCCAGCATGAACGGCAAGGCACTGGCTGTCCTGGGCTGCAGCCTCCTCCTCCTTGTCTTGGTTCCTCCTGCTCATTTCCCAAGCGCATACGGTTCCCTCCCCTTCCCTAGCATGCTGCTTCTTGCATTCCTCAGTGGCCCACACAAGGATGCCTTGCTGGAGGGCAGCATGTTGAAAGGGAATGGCCTGAGGATGCTCACGGACCGCCTGCAGTACCGGCAAGAACTCAGGGACGGGGACTATGCAGGCGCTGGCGTCTGCAGCTTTGGCCTTGGGGTTCGAAAATAACTTTGCCGATGGGCCACAGACCCAACTATTTCGACTTGAGTGTCCTCAAGGGAAGGATCCCAGGTTTCGCTGGCTTTGAGGGTCAGCACAAAAGGAAGCCTGATGCATCCCCTTTCAGCCGTGCACTGCATACAGGAGCCAGCCCGTCCCTGGCGAGGATTTGAGGACTGAGAGTCAGTCGGACGGCTTGGCAGATTTGGGAGATCCGCCACTAAGTTAAGATACCTGATCTCTTGATCTCTGCCAGGTGTAACCCAGAAATCCGGTGCCTGCATGCCTGAGGGGTTGGCAGGCAGGAGGCAAAAGCCAATTGCTACAAAATGCCTCCCAGCAATCAATAGACACAGAGCAGGCAAAACAATGAGTGAACAGAGAGACCCCTTGTCCACTTGGCTATGAAACTTCCACAGCACCTGCCTTTGCCAAGAAGGAGCTTAGAGCAGGAAGACAACTAACCGTCCTAGGCAAAGCCTTGTCCTAGGGCAGCGCTTTTCGAACTTTTTCACTCATAACCCAGATGAAGAAAATCATTGATGCCCACAACCCAACATCATTTGCCTGGAATGTGGGCTCTGGGGTGGGGCTGAAGAGGAGAGTTTATGTTGTAGGAGGGGGCTCCGGGTTGGGGGGGGGGGTCCAAGAGGGGACAGGAGGAGTTTACCTCAAGTGGCTCCTACTCCGCGATGCA